TAAATAAATAAATAAATAAATAAATAAATAATTGATGGCTCAAGGTATGTTTCATGAATATATAATTAGCTTTTCTTGAGAGGAGTCTGAGAGCCTACTTGATCCCCATCGTGTGAAGGAACTTGTTGTTCGTCTGAGGGAGATCTGTTGTCATTATTGTCTGCACGCGATAAGGCCTGTACTGCACTCCGGAGTCCGTGGCATTGAGGAACTTCCGGATAAACTACTGGTTCACTGTTACTTCCAATTGGACATTTAGATTGTTTAATCTCCAACTTTGCAGTGAATAGGTTTTTCAATATTACTAGTATCTTGGTTGTCATAATTTATTTCACTGGCTTCTTAAAACTGTAGGTAAATTTTGCCTAATGAGCTCAAGTCACATCACCTCATGATGCATCGGCTTTGAATAGAGCTAATCCTTATCAAAGATGACAATAGCAATTTGGCAATTTCTTGTTGAAAAGTAAAAGAAGTTTTCATATCCTGCAAATCCATACAGTCCAGGTGCTGGTATATGTATCGGCATCACTTTTGAGAAGAGTATCGGCCAAATTTCTGCTCCTTTTGACACCGTGCATGCTTATGCCCGTGTTAATGACTGTGCTCACCCTTTCTCCACGTAATAGTAAATCAACATTAAAGCTAAACCATAAGTTGTTGGACTACTGAGCCTCTTTCCTGTATCTGTTACACAATCGAGGTGCAACATTTTTGATCACCTACTGGTCGCTTACCCCAAGAGCTTGTATTGCTGACCTGATATAATCTTCCCTTGCTTTAATATCACTCATCCACTCATGTTTGTTCTTTTCCTTTTCGTACTTAAAGCCTATGGGATCTCTGCATTTCTTAGTACGTAACTCCGACCGATATTCCGATTTCATATCTCCAACTGCATATCCACAGTCATCGGCAATGTATATGTAATCTTCAAGAACAGACTTCAGTGATCGTTATTATTTGTCCTTTAATATATTTTGTTATGCCATCAAAATGTTTTTTTTTTTAAATCAAACAAATCTGAAAGATTTCTTTTCTGAAGATGCATTGCTGAACTAGACGATCCACCACCTTGGGATACGTGCTTGTTCCAACATACATGGTGGTAGCTGATGTTTGCAAAAGAACCAGACAGGGTAGAAGTAGACAAGGAAACTTTTGAAAGTCCATCCTTCATGTCTGGATCTTCACCCCAGAAATGTCTTGCTGTCGTCTCTTGCGATTTTAAGTTCAAGGGTTTTTTAAGAGTGTGTGGGGGTTGTTGTTTTTTTAAAGATTATATTGTCAAAGAATCCGAAGGTGCATGAAATAGTTCCACGAGACATCTGTCCACTGAGTGGATTCATAGAGATCACACATTAATCAAGCCCTCACCACTTTCAGATTTTGCTTTCACAGTGTTTCACGGAGACTGGTTTATGAGATGAGAAGGTTTGCGTGCCTTTTTCAATACATGTGTTTAAGCAAACACTCACACCAGACAGACACATTTTTCTCGTGTAAAAAAAGAAATTTTGGAGTAAAAAGTAAGTGTTATACTGACATCATGTTCTTATTCTTTATGTTGCATTTATCTGAAAAGAAGAGAAATACCAATTTAGTAGCATGGTGGATACAAATCAGTACCTTTGGAGCTAATATATTTGACCCTTTATAAGTTAAAATACAAGTAAGGCATTCTTTACCATCCGCAGGCAAAATGGGACAAATATTCCTCTTCACCGTAAGCGATAAGGCTGCCACAATTAGAACCAATTACAAATCAACATCTATGAATGAAGGCAATAAGTATGTTACTGTTGGAGACAGTATAGCTAGCGGTGCGTAGGTTAGTTTCAAAATGGTAAATTTGAATCAGTATTCTATTAAGAACAAGAATTTTTTTAAAATATTAGGGTATATAAATTAGCAAACGCTAATTCTTTTTTATTAGTTACTGTTTAAAACTTGCTCTAACGGAACACCCGATCTTCGATCTTTCGGGAATGTTTTACTTTCATTGTCAAGGAATCTCGATTTAAAGGTTTGGTTGCAACACGCACAATGCCTTGATCACATTGCACCGAAATGCGCCCGGAAAATCCCGCTGTGTTATAGACAAATTTGTTGCGGTTCCTTTATGAATTTGTTTTGTTTTACCTCTTTCTGTATGATAAATACTAGATCTACAGTAATGCATCCAACCTGTTTATGTGTATGCCATAAGAGACAAAGTGGACAAATCCAGTTCAAACCGTTTCAAATAATAAATCAAAACTTTGGGTGATAATGTCGTGATTTTGGAATTGTGACAAACGCGATCGGAGACATTGTCCCCAAACGATTGTAAACAAAACAGTCCATTGCGGTGATTATGCTAGCCAGTTACCTGAACTATTTTTGCATGTTAAAACGGTATAAAGTTTACATGTAAATTATGTACAACGCCCATCCTTCTCAAAGAGGCATGGGAGCTAAATTCTCTTTTTAACTCCTAAAGTTTCCAAAAAGCCAAAGAACGCGACTTCCGCGCTCCACGGTCACGGTGTTTGATTTTGCTTCAACTTATTGTCTAAAGGCTGGCAAAATGTGATTACTGTACCATGATTCCTTCATATCAAGACCAAAGACTTATTGAACCAACCTCGTAGATGGTTCTGTTGTTGCCGGACCCGCGTATAGGATGCTACAGACCGAGGAAGCTAAAGGCGTATATTATAGTTCTCAGTCATAATGGTAATAATAGTTTGGCTGTCAAAGCCAGACGATGACCAATGTTTCCACAGAGATGAATATTTCTCAAGCAGGATAGAAGAATTAAAAACCAAGTTGACTTGGACCAATAAGACCAATTCTGGCAGAGAAAAGCTTGCTACATTCTGAGCATTCGAAAGCTTCACTTTCACCTGTGGATGTGAGCAACGTACGGGCTTTTCTCTTAGTCTCTTATTCATAAAGCCTCATATGACTTGTTGCCCATTGTGGCTGCTGCTCTCCTATTAGGTCTATCATGAGGTAGGCTCTCCCATATCAAAGGCTGTATGTTGAAGTCCTTTAGAGATGTTTTCACGGAGTCTTTGTAACGCATTTTTGGTAGGATAAGGTTACGCTTCCCTGAGACATTTTTAAATTTTAGAAAAGAATACATGTACTACCTTCTAAATTCGGACATTCTTACCACATGGCACGGCCAGCCCAGTGAAGTTGAGTCCTTTTGAATTCAGTCAAATGTCCATTGTACTTTGTATTTTATATATATATATATATATATATATATATATATATATATATATATATATACATATATATATATATATATACATATATATATATAATGCATTCACACAATAGCCTTTAATACAAACGTGGTTCTATCATAGTTACAATATAATATAATTAAAGTAAGATCTGGAGTACGAAGTAAGATCTGGAGTACGACAGGGATGCATTCTATCTCCCCTCCTGTTTATAATATATATGGACACAATAACGCAAGAAGCAAATCAAAGCCCAGAAAGCCTAAATGAATTTCTGTTCGCAGACGACCAATGTCTAATTCATCATGACCAACAAAGCCTCCAAAATCACACTACCGAACTCAACAACACCTGTGAGAAATTCAACATGAAAATAAGCACATCAAAAACAAAAGTTATGAAAGTGAGTCGAAACCATAGTCCCCTGAACATCCATGTCAATAGTAAACAACTGAAACAGGTGAAAGAATTTAAATATCTTGGCAGCACTATTTCTGAAAACGGGTCCATAGACAGAGAAATAGAAATGCGAACTCAAAAAGCCAACGCTGTCACCTACCAACTCGCACCCCTTCTATCTCATCCAAACATCTCCATGGACACTAAGAGACAGCTTATCACCGCAATATTCATACCAACATTATGTTATCAGTGCCAGACCTGGACCTTAAGCAAAACCCATGAAAGCAAAATCACCGCATGCGAAATGAAATGTCTCCGCAAAACCCTTAACATCACAAGACGAGACAGGCAGAGAAATGAAGAAGTAAGAGCAGCTGTCGGCACTGAGTCCTGCCTGCGTTACATAGAAAGACAGAGGATAAAATGGTTTGGCCACCTGCTACGCATGTCACCTGACCAGCCAGCCTTGAGAGCCTACAACACCAAGCACTCAGGCTATAAAGGAAGAGGAAGGCCACGCAAAAGGTGGATCGAGGGTGTCAAGGAAACCCTAAGTAAACATAACATCACAACTGATAGAGGTGCGGATCTGTCCTACCATAGAAAACTGCATCTCCCCTCGACGCTTAAAGGCAACAGAGGATGAAAAAGTAAAAGTAAAAGTAAGTAAGTATAATAAAAGTAATAGTACCGTAACAATAATAACAACAAAACTACTACTACTACTGTATCACTGCAACAAAACTACTACTACTACTACTACTACTACTACTACTACTACTACTACTACTACTACTACTACTACTACTACTACTACTACTACTACTACTACTACTACTACTACTACTACTACTATTATACCTACTACTGCTGCTGCTGCTGCTGCTGCTGTTGCTGCTGCTGCTGCTACTGCTACTGCTACTGCTATTGCTACTACTACTACTACTACTACTACTACTACTACTACTACTACTACTACTACT